TAACAGCATTCCTGGCTGCCAGTAGCAGCTCCTCCCTACCTGCCAGATGTGACAACCAAAAATGTCTCCTCTAGACAATGCCAAATGTCCCATGGCAGAGAGGAAAATTACCCTTAGTTGAAAACTGCTGGTAAAAGTACTATGGTCAGATCTTTCTGTATACTCTACCCAAAGCCGTAAGACTTTTTCAGTCTGGGGTTTTTTTTCCTTTTTTTTCTTTTTGTGGTTTTTGGCCGGGGCTGGGTTTGAACCCGCATATGGGGCGGCGCCTTACTCCTTTGAGTCACAGGCGTCACCCTCAGTCTGGGTTTTTTTCAGATAGGCACTTTTCTTGGCCTTGTGTGAGTGCTGGGAATCCTTTTCGGTGGTCTTCCCTTAGTCTTGGTTAGTTTCCTTACACACATGTGCTGATGAGCATTTGACTAATTATTCAAGAGAGACCTTATATAGCTCTCTGGAGTTCTTTGAGAAGCTCTTTCCTTTACAGTATTTTGTCCCACAAATCCAGCCACCTTGATCCCTCTAGATTCTCAGCTCTATCTCCTCCATTCAGTGAGTATGCCATTCCTCTCTTTGGGTTCCCATACTGTATCTCTTGTAGCGTGGGAAGCTCTCCAGGTAGTAAGCTGGGGCACTAGGGCTCACTTTATTTGTTTCCTATCTCTGAGGGATTTGTCTGATACTCAGTGTCTTGAAACCTTTTTTTTTTTTTTTGCAGTTTTGGCTGGGGCCAGGCTTGAACCCGTTGCCACCTCTGCTATATGGGGTCAGCGCCCTACTCTTTGAGCCACAGGTGCCACCCCTTGAAACTTTTTTTTTCATGTATTTTGTCTGTTTTTGGTTGATTGAGGTTGGAGGATAAATCTGGTCCTTGTTACTATGTCTTGGCCAGAAGCAACTGTCCCTTTAACTTATATTTTATTTATATCAAATATTGGTTAAAGCTGCATTTTTAATGTTCTTAAACATTTACTAACCTAATTTCCTTATTTTATCAATTTGTACAAATCTCTGTCATATTCTTCATTCAAAGTCTCCTGTTTTTCCCTGTAATTCCTATGGCCACAACATAAATATTAAATTGGCCCTAGAGCTTTTGATCATCTTTTAATATACCTCTTTAATGTAGGCTTTCACAGTGTTAGCTAAGTAGTGATTTAGTTGGGTCTCTATTATGTAGTTCAATTAAAGGACATGCATGGACCTGATAAAGCACAACAGTGGAATGTTTCATGCTTTTAGGGCATTCCCATCGCAGGCTCAGAGACTTCTAGGAGGCTTCCTTATATGATATAACATATTTTCTAGCAGCTAAAACATCAGCATCAAAGCCTTTAGCCTGGTTGAGGTTGTAAAGAAGTGGTGCGCTAAGACAGGAAAAGAGAAAACCATAAGAGAAGAGAAGAATGATTTTGAGCAGAGAATGAGATGAAACTGTACTAAAGAATAATACTGCAAGGATGGGAGTGACATGGAATCCATTGGTGGTAAGCTATTAGAGAAAAGGGGAATGTCGCAGAATAGAAATAAAATGACTGAAGAAATCTGTCCTTCTTAAGTACGAGAGGCGCTTTTCTCTCAGATTTACTACATCATGACTGCTGGAGAGTTTGTATCGTGGTTATTGGATGTCCAAGGATAAAATAACAGAGCATACCTTAGGAAAAGAAGCTACGTATGTAGTTGGTAGGGCGAAACCATCTGTAATAGTTATGTGTGTGAACTGAAATGTAGCAAAATCATGTTTTTAATGGAAATTTATATATGATACATAATAAATCATGTAAAACAATATGTAATACAATAATGTGTAAATTCCGTGTGTTAAAGTGAGTAAGTCATAATTCTTTGACCTTTGGAGTAGTGATACTATAGCTAAAAAGAGTTGAGTAAGAGTTTTTGTAACTCTAGCAGTGTTTTTCAACCTTTTTTATTTTATGGTACACTTAAATTATGTTTATCAAAAAAAAAAAACAATTCAAAAAAGACTATACTCACTGTGCTTTGAACTTCTGTCAAAAAGAATTTAATTAATGCTCTTTAAAAATTTTCTCAGCACACCTAAGATCCTCTCATGGCATACCAGATGAAAATCACTGCTCTATAGCATATGAGAATTAGACAACTTTTTAAAAAATATAGACTTCTTGTAGATGGATGTGATTTTAATTTTCAAAAACTAAAAAACTATGGGTTGTTATTTTTAAAGCTCAATTTAGAAGCAAAATATGATTTAAGCTTTCCAAAAACTAGGATTGGTTTTTATTAAGAAAGAAATAAATACTTAAGGATTAACTGACGTTTTCATGGCATTCATCTATGGGTGAATGTTACCAAGCATGTTTCTTGTTTTGATATAAGTGGTGCTCATGTATTTTCTGCCAGTATCAAATGATTATAAGTCTTCATGTGAAGAGTTTGTGTGGGTTAGGGGAGAATGCAGAACAATATTCAGCACAAGAAAGTATAAAAGGTTTTCCACCACCAAAAATGCATTTTTATCAATATATAACCACCTACACAATTATGCGAATGGCAAAACATAACTATACTTCATAAAGTAGAAGGGAAGAGGAGAGAGAGCGATGGAGAGAGAGAAGGGAGGGTATTGGGGGGACTTCACCTAATGTGCATGATGCAGTGATACATTTCAGAACTATTAAGTAATGAGTATAATTGTGATGATTGTGTTACTTGATTCAATGTAAACATTTCACATTGTATATCGAAGCAGTACCCTGAACCCCGTAAATGCATCAATGTACAAAGTTACGATTTAATAAAAAATAATTAATAAAAAACCCAAAAATGCATTTTTATGCATTTTGATAACAATAAACATGTAAATCAGGAGTGTTTAGCATCTGGGAGGAGAGAAAATGCCATCAGAACATGGTAAAGAACATTTGTTTGTCCTTCAGGAAAGAACATTTGTATTTATGTTTTGTTCTGTTTTTTAGAATAAACTTCTTTTTTTTTTTTTTTTTTTTTTTTTTGAGACAGAGCCTCAAGCTGTCACCCTGGGTAGAGTGATATGGCATCACAGCTCACAGCAACCTTCAACTCCTGGGCTCAAGCGAGTCTCCTGCCGCTGCCTTCCAAGTAGCTGGGACCACAGGCGCCCGCCACAACGCCTGTCTATTTTTTGGTTGCAGCCATCATTGTTGTTTGGCGGGCCCAGGCTAGATTTGAACCTGCCAGCTCAGGTGTATGTGGCTGGCGCCTTAGCCACTTGAGCCACAGGCGCCAAGCCGAGTAAACTTCTAAAATAAAGTTTGACATATATAGACAAAAATGTAGTACCCAACTTGACAAATTTTCACAAAAGGAACATATTTGTTTAATAATCAACAATGGGCAGTGCCTGTGGCTAGTGGGTAGGGCATGGCCCCATATACCGAGGGTGGCAGGTTCAAACCCAGCCCCGGCAAAATGCAACAAAAAAATAGCCAGGCATTGTGGCAGGTGCCTGTAGTCCTAGCTACTCGGGAGGCTGAGGCAAGAGAACCACCTAAGCCCAGGAGTTGAGGGTTTCTGTGAGCTGTGATGCAATGGCACTCTACCAAAGGCAAAAAGTGAGACTCTGTCTCTAAAAAAAAAAAAAAACAACTAACAATCAACATTAAAAAACAGATCAGGCTCGGCTCCTGAAGCTCAAACGGCTAAGGTGCCAGCCACATACATCATAGCTGGCAGGTTAGAATCCAGCCTGGGCCTGCCAAACAACAATGACAACTACAACCAAAAAATAGCCAGGTGTTGTGGGGGGTGCCTGTAGTCCCAGCTGCTTGGGAGGCTGATGCAAGAGAATCACTTAAGCCCAGGAGTTGCAGGTTGCTATGAGCTGTGATGCCACGGCACTCTACCCAGGGCGACAGCTGTCTCAAACAAACAAACAAACAAAACCCCCAGATCATTTGTATTGTAGCTACTTAAGTTTTTTCAAGTTGGGTAGTAGGTACATACATATTTCTTTATATAGGCTCAAGAAACTAGAAGTTTTAGAATAGAAAAAGATCATAAACAGCTATGTGGGATGAAAGTAGTAAAAATTATTAGTACTTTTTAAAATGTAGCACATTATTGGCTTTTATCTTGCATTATAAAGTTTGGGTCATCAAGTTTATGAGTATATTTGAAGTGATAGATAGTTTTCTTTTAAAAATCTGATCACTAAAATCCCAGTGATAATTTAAGAATGAAATGCTAGAGGGAATTGAGTTATTATTAATTAATATTTATGTCTAGTTTAAAGACTTTATGTCTGTTCTAGAAATCATGTATAGTTGTTAGAAATATGCTTAATCTAAAGGGTTTCCTGGAATGACAGTTATCTATTTATGTTTTTTCCCCTTGGATAGGGAGGTACATTTTCCATGAACATGAAGATTTTAGAAATTTGATTTTTTTGCATATAACAAATCCTCAAATTACTGGGTTCAGGTGATCCTCCTGCCTTAGCCTCTTAAGTAGGTGGGATTACAGGAGTACCACAATGCCTGGCCAATTTTTCTATTTTTTGATTGTAGAGAAAGGGTCTCACTGGGTTGCTCATGCTGGTCTTAAACTCCTGTTCTCAAGCAATCCTCTTGCCTTGGCCTCCCTACGTGCTAGAATTACAGGCACGAGCCACTGTGCTCAGCTATATATCTTAATTTTATGAAAAGTATTAAAATGGGACTTTTCTGAACTGTTCTCTAGAATAGTCTTTTTAACTAAGTTATAGCTAATATGCTGTGGAAAAGCCATGGTAAAATAACTTTATGTAAAACATTTGGTCATTAGCTTTCCTTTTGCTATTGGGGTTACATGCGTAATATTATTAGAATGTTAATCTATTGGTTTTTAAACCACTCATTACTGAAAATTTTTTGCTTTCACTGTAGAAGCCAATAAGACAGTCTATCCTGTTTCGGGTATGTTTGTGTGTATTTGGTCTTTAAAGAAGTTGTTGGAACACACTAAAGTGTTTGTTTTATGTTCCTGTTTTTGTTTGACAGGCAGTGAAGGAGGAAATGGCAGGTCCTAATCAACTCTGCATTCGCCGCTGGACTACCAAGCATGTAGCTGTGTGGCTGAAGGATGAAGGCTTTTTTGAATATGTAGACATTTTATGCAATAAGCACCGACTTGATGGAATCACATTGCTAACACTGACTGAATATGATCTTCGGTCTCCTCCTCTGGAAATCAAAGTCTTAGGGGACATTAAAAGGTTAATGCTCTCAGTCCGAAAATTGCAAAAAATACATATCGATGTCTTAGAAGAAATGGGCTACAACAGTGACAGTCCCATGAGTTCCATGACTCCTTTCATCAGTTCTCTTCAGAGTGCAGACTGGCTCTGTAATGGGGAGCTTTCACATGACTGTGATGGACCCATCACTGACTTGAATTCTGATCAGTATCAGTACATGAATGGTAAAAACAAACACTCTATTAGAAGATTGGACCCAGAGTACTGGAAGACCATACTGAGTTGTATATATGTTTTTATAGTATTTGGATTTACATCTTTCATTATGGTTATAGTCCATGAGCGAGTGCCTGACATGCAGACTTATCCACCACTCCCAGATATATTCTTAGACAGGTAAGTTTTGCTTTTAGTTGCTAAGTTTGTAGAAGCTTGCTGTAGTAACATCAATGATAATATATTTATGATAATTATGTCGTTTGTTATTGTTGTGGTTGATGTATACATAATGCTTTTTATTTGCTTTATCTGGTGGTATAAAAAGATGTACTTTGAAATCACCTTTTTCATTTAGAGTAAATTAGAATTAAGTGAGAAAGGCCACTGCTTAATTTATTTTTCTATAGGTACAGTTCCTTGGGCACTTCAGATTTTAAAGTGATATCCTAGAATGATGTCTGTAATAAGTGGAATTTGGTTGCTTTTCTTTTCCTTTTTTTTGAGACAGAGTCTCAAGCTCTCACCCCGGGTAGAGTGCCATGGCATCACAGCTCACAGCAACCTCAAACTCTTGGGCTTAAGCGATTCTCTTGCCTCAGCCTCCCCTGGGACTACAGGCACCTGCCACAACACCCAGCTATTTTTTGTTTGTAGTTGTCATTGTTGTTTGGCAGGCCCGGGCTGGATTCGAACCTGCCAGTTCAGGTGTATGTGTCTGGTACCCTAGCCACAGAACTACAGGTGCCGAGTCGCTTTTATTTTCTTTTTAAAATTATGAGCAGGGTTCTGCTTTTTCAAAAATACAGTATTCTCTTGTAAGACCAAATGATTTGGAATTACCACAAATTGTGCAAATAGATTTGATCGTAGTATCCTGTTTTTATGAAGTACTGAATGTGTAGAAAAATATATGTGTTACATATTAAAAATAAGAATAGAATAATACATACTTAATTATTAGTTCTTATATTTATGAACTTTTTAAAATTATACTTCTGTCTTATTTTTATAAAACATTTTGCCCTTCTGAAAGTGCCTTGTGGTATGCAAGGTTGGACAATTGAGTTTGTGAACTCATCCTAGCAAAAGTGCCTGATACTTCATTGGTAAATATCATCACAGTCACCTTGAAGTACTTCCCTTGGGAGCTACACACCCACACCAGCATCTAGTCTACCCTTCAAAGCAGTTGTGGAACTCTTCCGAAATGGTCATCAGAGCTGTTGTCATATGAGATCTAACAATTAAGCTCATAAACTTGTCTTTTAAAAAGTGCTTTGAAGGTTGGACTAGGTGCTGGTGTTGGTGCATAGCTTCCTAAGGGGAATACTTTGAAGGTGACCATAGGGATATTCAGCAATGAAGTATGTAGCACTTTTTCTAGGATTAGTTCATGAATTTAATTATCTTACCTCGTATATATTTTAAAATGAAATTAATTTAAAATGTCTACATTAAGATGGCAGAATAACATATACTTTTGTTCCTTGTCAAATCCTGACTAAAGCTATAATAGTTTTTTTGGTTTTGTTTTTTAAGTTGCAAGCTTACAAGATGGGGTCCCGTATAAACAGAATGAATCCTGTTTATGTGGGGGATTTCTCAAAGCTCTGGATATTAGAGGTGAAGGGGTGATACTAAAGTAAAAAGAATTGGGTGAAAGCTGTTCAAGAAGCTGTTAGATCCCTGAATCTTCTCTCCGATTCTATATAGTTTCCCCAGCTGTAAACAAAAACCCTTAAGGAAGTAAGGAAGAAGCGTGTGTATTTAGGCAGATGAAACAGGTACAAAAGTCCTAAACTGGGAATGTGCCTGAAATGTTCAAAGAACAAGTGAGAGATAGGGAAAGCAGGTGGAAATAAGGACCCAGAGGAGACCAGAAGCCAGACAGTGTAGGGACTTAAAGACTGTTCAAAGGGCTTGAGCTTTCATTCTAAGTGAAAAGGGAAGCTATGCCAGTCCTGGTGTCTGAGTGATTCCCAAGGCTCAGCAAAGGGACCAAGTTTCCAGAGCCCTGAAGACAAGGGGTAACCCACCAAAATATGGACTTATTTTCCACTCCACCTTCATTGGCCGAGCAGCTGCCAAGAAAAAAGGCCAAACCTCCCAATACCTGGCAAACAAATGCAGTATTGCCTCATTAATCAGTTGCTTTTCTGAGGTGCCCACGAGCATATTTGGGGAGAAGCTTTGGGAACAAGTTGAGGAGCAGCTGTCCTTCTATCAGACTGGAGAGATTCCACAAAAGAATCTGGATGTCATGAAGGAATCACTGGTTCAGGCAGAGGAAGCGGCTGCTGAGATCACTAGGAACCTGGAGAAACAGGAGAAGAAATGCTTGAGGAAGGAAAAGAAACGACTCACTGCACTTGCCTTCGCTTCTTCAGAAAACAGCAGTAGCACTCAGGAGGAGTGTGAGGATGCAGTGGAAAACCCAAAAAGAAGAAAAAGCACCTGTGGCTCAAGTGGCTAAGGCGCCAGCCACATACATCTAAGGTGATAAGTTCGAATCTAGCCTGGGCCCGCCAAACAACAATGACGGCTGCAACCAAAAAATAGCCAGGTGCTGTGGTGGGTGCCTGTGGTCCCACCTACTTGGGAGGCAGAGGCAGGAGATTCGCTTGAGCCCAGGAGTTGGAGGTTGCTGTGAGTTGTGATGCCACGGCACTCTACCCAGGGGGATAGCTTGAGGCTCTGTCTCAAAAAAAAAAGAAAAAGCCCCAGGAGGTTTCTCAGGAGAATGGAATGAAGACAACCTGTCTATCCCTGTTTCTAAACTCAAGAAAAAGAAATCTTTTTCCAAGGAGTAGTTGGTTAGTAGTGATCTTGAGGAGGCCATTGGTACTTCCTCCCAAGAGGAAGAAAGCTGGCTCGGCGCCTGTGGCCCAAGTGGCTAAGGCGCCAGCCACATACACCCAAGGTGGCGGGTTCAAATCCAGCTCGGGCCCACCAAACAACAATGACGGCTGCAACCAAAACATAGCCAGGCATTGTGGCAGGCACTTGTTGTCCCAGCTACTTGGGAGACTGAGGCAGCAGACTCGCTTGAGCCCAGGAGTTGAGGTTGCTGTGAGCTGTGATGCGACAGCACTCTACCCAGGGGAATAGCTTGAGGCTCTGTCTCAAAAAAAAAAAAGAAAGAAAAAGAAAAAGAAGACAGCTTCACCCAAGAAGGAAACAGTAGTTAGTGATCCTGAAGAGGCAGGCAACAAGAGCGTGTCTAAGAAAAAGAGGAAATTCTTCTCTAAGGAGGAGGTGGTCAGCAGCTGGCAGGAAGAGGCTACAGGCATCAAGAATGGCTCCCAAAAGAAGAAAAAGTTCTACAAAGCTCCCCAGGAAGATTAGAATGGACATTCCCTGTGACGAAGGGTATCTCATATCCCACAGTGACATTTCCCACCCTGCGTCCCATACCTCAATAAAAACAAATTCACACACACACACAAAGGGAAGTTATGAAAAGTATTGAGAAGAGTAGGGAGATCTGATTCATTTTGTAAAATGTTTTTTTAGTTGTATTGAGAATAGCTGGGGGATAGGGATTGGGAACCAGGGATCAGGTAAGAAGTTAACTGAGCTGAGCGCACTGGCTCACACCTGTAAATCTAGCACTCTGGGAGGCCAAGGTGGGTGGATTGCTTGAGCTCAGGAGTTTGAGACCAGCCTGAGTAAACGTGAGACCCCCGTCTCTAGAAAAACTGAGGCAAGAGGATTGTTTGAACCCAAGAGTTGAAGGTTGCTGTGAGCTATGACCCCACAGCAATACCTAGGGCAACGGCTTGAGATTTTGTCTTAAAAAAAAAAAAGTTAATTGAATTCATCTAGACAAATAAAATGGTAGATTTGGTGAGGATAGTAGTGGTAGAGATGGTGTGATAGGATCAAATTTTATGTATCTATTTTGAAAATAGAGCTAAAAGGATTTGCTGATGAATTTGGATGTGAGGGATACAAGAAAAAGAAAAGCCAAAGATTATTCCATGATTTTTACCCTGAACATATAGACGGAGGGAGTTACCATTTAAAGAGATGAGAAGATGGTGAAAGGAGCTGATTTAGAGAGAAAATTAAGGGTTTGGTTTTGGGCATGTCAGATTTGAGTTCTCTTTTACACCAAATCAGATATCAAATAAGAGATGGAAATATAAGCAGATTTCAGACATAGAGATCTAGGCTAAGATTTGGGAGTTATCAGCGTAAGGAAAGCTGTGATGCTAGATAAGTTTCCTAGGGAGTAAATCCAGAAAGGAAGAGAAGATTGAGCCCCAAAATGTTCTAACATTTGGAGGTCAGAGAATGGGAGACCAATAATGAAGACTGAGAGCAGAGAGAGAGAATAGTATTCTGCAAACCAAGCAAAAAAGTATTTTAAGAAGGCAGGAACAATTAGCTATGTCAAATACTGCTTAGAAGTCAAGATCAGGAGAATAGCACCATATTGGTCATCAGTGACTGTGATAAGAGTTAATAAGGGCAGAATGGGTTGTAATGGACTCAAGAGAGAAGGTGTATCTCCAGAAATAGGAAACTACGTGAGCACAGGGTTATTTGTTGTGACATTACTTACAATAATTATAAATATTGAAAATAATCTTAATGTTTATCCGTGGGAAACTGATTGAGTATACTATAGAACATCTACACAATGGAATACTATTTAATAAAAAAGAATGAGGACAAATTCTATGAACTGATACAAAATGACTTATAGGAAAAGCCGTATCAATGAGCAGTGTGAGCACACAGATCCTGTTTTCTAAATATCATTCCTCACTTAAAAGAACTAGACCAGGGCTCCTTAGAGAAATAACTCATTTTCAGTTTGGGGCAAAGGAAGTATAAAATGAGTCTGAAAGACATCTTGTGCCATAAATCAAGGACATACATGAAACCAGTGGAAACATGTCAAAAGAACATAGGAGCTGGGTTGAAGGGGCACCCACTGATCAAATTAGGACAGTTGCAACAACAAAAAGAATAATGATGGCAATGGATTATAACATTTTGAGTAAGAAAAAGAAGCTGTGAATCACAGTAATAAACAAAAAATAGCAAAGTGAGAGGGGAAGCTCTTCGAGAGTAATACCAGCAAACAAATGTGGATGGCATGACTGTACATCTTATGATGTATAATTGATTCAGACAAGTCATGCTAAAATCTGTTAAGTGAAAGGCCA